GCTTCCAAAGTTGTTTGACTCCACTTACAAAGAAACCATGTACTTATCAATGCTACTACCACGACTACTAACACAATGACAACTATCACTGCCATTGTCTTCCGGCTACCAGCCAACACCTTTCCTTTATTGAGCACCTGCTGAGGGCCATGCCCTGTGCTGGGTGCTTTACATATACAGTATAATATCCAATTTTCATAAGCCCCGTAATAGAACTGTATGTACTTCCATTTTACAGGTGAAGAAATTGAGGCTTGAAGAGGTTAAAAACATACCCAAATGTCAAATGCAGATTTGAAACTGGGTCTGCCCAACACCAAAGTGTGTGATCTTTTCACTGTGACCTGCTGTTAGAGCTAGTATTTACTGGGCATTTGTTACTTGCCAGGTGCTAAGCTAGTCATTTATAATATATATTAATAACTCAAAAATAATGTTAAGAGGTAGGTCACAGATCACAAAACTGAAGTTAGAGCAATAACTTCCTGAGGAACTCCTGGCTAGGAAGTAACAGAACTAAATTTAAATGCCTGGTTTATCACTGGTGAAATGAATCTGAAAATTTAAACTCTTGCCTTTGGCATAAGGAAAATAATCCAGTATTCACCAGTTTAAATCTAACATTCGAAAAACACAAACAGACTTATTTGGCCATGTCCTTTATGTTAAAAATAATTAAATTCAATAATTTAACCTGTTAAGAGTTCTAAATGCTAAGCCGTTTTTCAGCCACAAAAAACTGAAAAGTAGTATCAATTTTAAGTTATAAAGACTAACACTCTATAGTTCCAGAATGCTTTCAAATAACATTTTAAATGTTAGTTCTTTTTCTGAAGGGAGGCAGGGGATAGGCTTTCAAATAACAATAGTTTATCCTCACAACATTCTAATGTTATCAGCAGGAAAGAAGTTTTCCCTTTATAGAAGGGACAGGTCCATTGAGTACAGAAAAACTGAGAGATTGTCTACAGTCCTGAAATTTGAGCCTGCTTACCCTGACTCGGCGGTAGATCTGCCTGCCCAAAGAGGATGCTCTGCTCTCAGGCACGACTGCACTTTTCCTCCAGCTGAAACAAGGCTTGATGATTTTCAGGTGATTATGAGCCCCACCCACCATTTGAATTTGGCTCTCCTGCAGAAAACATTAATGCTTGTTTCTAGGTTTGGGATTCAATTCAGTTCGAGGGTAATCATTTTTAATTTACTCCATCTGACCTTTAGCTAAGAGCCAGCCCATTTCTAATCAAAACAACACAGGGTGTGTTGAATAGGGAAAATAAAAAGGAAGTACTATTTCCATCATATAGCAGAAAATAAACACAAAATTGCTACCCATAAGGAGGTATAGGCAAGATGTTAGTAATACAAAGAAACTCCTATTTTTTGAGCACCCACTATGCACCAGTCACTGTTCTGAGCACTTGACATGCATTAACTTGTTGATTTTTATAACAATGCTTATTCCCATTTTATGGATGAGGCAATTGTGGCACAAAAAGTTTAATAACCTGCCCAGGATGACAGAGCTAATGGTCACAACAAGTAGAAGAATAGGAATTTAAATCTAGGTAGAGAATTAGCACTCTTAGTAAATTGTGTACAAAATGGAGTATAATTTAAAACCTGATCAATGGCAGTGACCTGATGGCTGATAGAGGACGCCTGGCCACAGCTTGCCGTGCCCTCTCCATGCACACTTCTGGGCCCTCTGATGGCAAGCACATAAAAACAGGAGGCGGGCTGACCCAGGAGGGCAGAGACTCTATTTCTATGAAAATAACATCATACTAATATGTTTACCAAAACCGAGCTGAAAAAAACTTTAAGGGTATATTTTGGAAAGAGAGGTAGCCATGTTCAAATTATTTTATGTAAAGAAACGGCTGATTTTTAGAACATCTACACTAAAATCATATTTGCAGAATACTAAGATTTGACATCAGTAAACTTTAAACCATCTTTGAAATAGTAAGCTTTTCTAGGAAGAGAGCAGTTTTCCCCCATCCAACTCTACTTTTTTTCCATTTCTTCCATTAGATCTTTGCTTTTTAAATGATAATTGAGGAGGAGAAAGGGAATTATCATTTTACAATTACTGAGTTCCTACTTGGGAAAATATAGGAAAGTGGTCAAGGACCCTCAGATGTTCAGAATCTTGCCGAGCAAGATAAATGTAAATATGCACGTGCACCCAGGTGTTCCTTGGTTACTATCTAATGTAATTGCGCATGTGCACCCAGGTGTCCTGGGTTCTGGACCTAAGTGTAAAGGACTAACGGCTCTGATACACAATGCTTCTCCGGATGCTCCAGGAGGCCACTAGGGCAGCTGCGCCTAGCTCTGAATAAAGCCTAATAACTTTTTTACCCACGGCTCCCAGGACCTTTTCCTATTACCTAGCTCACAGACCTGCATGTGGAGGGTTTGTGACCCAGTCTGTACAATGGGCTTGAGGGGTTTGTGAGCCCTAGCCATAGCTTTACACTACTTTATGCCCAGAAGTGTGATAAGGGTTTTACATTTAATAATAAAACTTTCATTTAATATTCACAACAGCCCTACAGAGTCAATATTGCTATTGTCTCCATTTTACAAATGAGGAAACTGAGTCTCAGACAGGTAAAGTAACTTGCCCAAGGTCACATAGCCAGGACATAAATTCATATTTATCTGATCTAAATATTAATGTTAATCATAGATACACCCAGCAAATAAGTGTGGCCACCTGGCTGTCCCCTTCTTATTTAGAGACAAAGGCTGTACATTCCAGCCAAGTTCCATCACCTTCAACTCCTGCACAGGAATGAATGGGAATGGACAGATGGCTCAAGAGAGTCACCTTGACCAAAGACTGACCAGAGACCTAAGTGTGCTTTCACCATTCTCTTGAGACCAGAAACAGGTACACTCTCTCAGAAGCATGGTTCTGAAGGAAAGTATGAAGGGCTTCTAGACTGAAGCTCAAGGAGAGAAGCATAAGCTCCTGTTTTTAGTGTGTGTGTATTTGCATTTGAATAAATTATCTATAGCTGTGTATTGCTACATTTTGATAGACAGGAAATGTTGGGACTAGGTCAGGTAAGAAAATCACTATGGAAGTGTTTAAAATACTTACTGAGGTAATAGAAAAAGTACTTCAGTGTTAGGTACATCATTATTAAGTAACATTTTATTAGAAGGTTCAATCCATTATTAGGTACATATAGCAAGTGAACACATAAAAATATATTCTATTACATAAGGGTTCAGTTCCCTGTACAAGCCATCACCAAAAAAAAAAAAAAAAAAAAAAGGGCTGGCTGGTTAGCTCAGTTGGTGGATAGAGCACAACAAAGATCATGGGTTTAGATCCCCATACCAGCCAGCTGCCCAAAAAATACACATACACACACATAGAGATAGATATAGATATATAGATATAAATATTCTATTACATTATAACCGTTGTGGATGATAAAATATGAGAAAAATAAAGTACCTTCTCTCTTAGCACTCCTTCCCCTACCTCCTCACACACTCAGACCAGTGTGAACCACTTGTGCTTCTCAGGGAGTACTATGCATGCTCTCTTTTTTTTTTTTTTTTTTTCCTTTTGTCTTTTTCCGTGTCCGGCAACGGATCGCAACCCTCAGTGTTGCCCCCGTACCGGGCCGGGGACCGGCAACGGGATTGCAACCCTCGGTGTTGCTCCCACGCCTCGCTCAGCCAGTGAGCGGGAACCGGTCTATATGTGGGATCCAAACCCTCGGGCGGGAGCGCCGCCGCGCTTCCCAAGCGGGGCACTTATCCAGTGCGCCACCGGGCCGGCCCTATGCATGCTCTTCTGAGTCTGTGATGTTCATAGTGCAATCTCTGCCTGCAACTCGTTGCTCCTCCCCCTTTCTGTGTAACTAAGCCACTTAAGCTACCCACCTCCAGGAAGCCTCTCTGGATCCCTTCCTCTGTTCTGTTCTGGTCTTCACAAGAAACTAAGAATTCCTTGATGACTGAGAATTCTTATTGTCTCTCATTGTTTGTTATATGCCAGCACTTAGCACTTAGCTAACATGCTCAACAAAATTTTTATTATATGAATTTTATTGTATGAGTGAGACCAGATTGCAAAATTGACTTTTTGAGAAATAAAAGGAAAAATACTGTATATCTAAAATGCAAATCTTCCACAAACAATTTTTTTCTAGAGCCCTCATTGTCCATATGAGTTTATTTTTAAAACACGTTCAGAAGGATTTACTGGACGTTGTCAGTTATCCATCACAAAAAATATTTTACGCCTCCGAACCACATAAATATGCTGTTACTTCAAATTTATTATTGTTCAACTAATGCATCAATTCTGGTAGTATAACTGAATAATTATACATGTAGAATGAAACCACCACAAAATCATGATAAAAATTAAAAAGCACAATGGCAATTACACTTTGAATAACTAGGTGCTCCCTAGTCCTGCCACTGTCTCCAATAGAGACAAGCCATTTACTCCTCGATCTCAGTTTCTTCACCCATTAAATGGGAGTAACCATCTTTGCCACTTCCTCCTCCACTTTTTAAGCTCTTGTGAAGATGATGGGCATATAATATCTGTAAGAGTGCAGAGCCTCACAACAAAGGTACTATTATCAGAAAGTATTACATCTCCCAAGCTAGAATTCCTATCAACATCCATTATGGTAACAACCCTTCACTACCCTCCTGCTCTCATTAGCAGGTTGATAGTGTAGACTCTTGCATAAAGCCTTTGCCAATCAAAATAAAGGCCACCTGGTGGGCACAAATTCGTCTCGCTGCTGCTGCTTCTGAGTCAGAAGCCACGAGGAACATGGTCACCTGCAGCAGCCACGACTGGGCCCCCGGACTCCGCTACACTCCAGCTGGGTGAAACGGACCCCGGGGCTTTCCCCTCCTTGGGGTGGTGTCCAGGCACTCAAGGGGCAGCGTAGCCGCAGCAGATAGGGGGAGGAAGGGGTGAGATGGGAGGGCTGGGGCGAGGAGCTTACCTGGCCTCGCCGACGGGCGCCGGGGGCGGGTGCGGAATGAACACCCCACAGTCAAACGGCGGAGGCTGCGGCTTCTTTTTGGAGCGCCAGATGTGGAAGGTGGTGTGCTTCTTGGGGGCCCTGGACGGGCTGGACTCCCCAGGGTCCCCCTGAGCTGGCGGCGACAGCGGCATCTTCTTTTCCGCCTCGTCCTCCGACTGCTCAGACGCTGGCCTCTCCGCAGCCCGGCCCTTGTGGAAGAACATACCTGGGCTCCGGCTCGCCCGCCTTTCCCAACGCGCCGTCGGACCCCGCCCCCTCGTCGCCTGTGCTGGGCAACGCAGAGGGTCAGAGGACCGGGACAGAGCGGAGCGCGAGCAGCAGCACAGCAGCCCGAGCTCTCCAGGAGGAGGCGACGGCCGGGAGGCGGCACCGCTTCCCCGCGCTGCAAGGGCTGCAAGTGGCGCGAGCCCAGGTGAGGCGCGCGCTCCGGGAGCCCCAGGTAGGGCAGACACGCCCCCGCTCCCCGGCCTGGGGGCGCGCGGCGGCCGCGGTGCAGCGACACCTACTGGACGCCTTTGGAACTGCATTTCCTAACGCTGCATCCCCCGAGCGGGGTTGGGAGCCAGAACCGGGTGGGGTTCCGACCGCGCCTCAGGTGTAGTTGTCATCGGTCGCCTGCGGAGTCGTTGGCCACTCTCGGCCTGTGCCAGACTGGCAGGGTGAGTGGCTGCTTAGCCATGAGCCCTGCCTGGAGAAGGATGGGGAGAGGCACATCCCGTGGCCAGGCCCCCGGTAATTAGAACTCTTCCACTCTGGCCTTTGGATGGCTTGGGCAATGTCATGTGCTAGGTGGCTTCTGTTCCCATTCGTAAATATGGGTGCCAACTCCTCTTCTCTCTCATCAAGAGTGAATAATTAATTTGTACTCACAGGTCATAAAGCACAAAAGGATAAAAAACAGAAGGGAATTAGCTATATTCCCCAGTTCCCAAAGGACGTAATAGATTCCTCACAGTGAATTAAAATGCCAGTACTCGTCATCTGCTTTACTGTTAATGACTGTCTTTTCTTAACCTGAACAATCGTCGTTAAATAGCAAAGGCAACTAATATTTAAGCAAAGGAAGTACATGAACAATTATTTTGGGCAACATCAGTATAAAGAGCTCAAGAACCAAGAACTGCTTAAAATTCAGTGCAGTACAAGATCTTCTTACACTGTAACACTTTCTTCTTTCTTTCTTTTCCTCTTTGAAGATCAGCTCACTCATTCATTCACCAAAAAAAAAATTCATTTTTATTTAATTATTTTTATTTACATCTTATCAAGGTATAACATGCATAAAGTTAAAAGAAAAAAAAAGTTACACAGGGCCAACCCCGTGGCTCACTCGGGAGAGTGCGGCGCTGGGAGCACCGAGGCCACGGGTTCGGGTTCGGATCCTATATAGGGATGGCCGGTGCACTCACTGGCTGAGCATGGTGCAGACAACACCATGCTGAGGGTTGCGATCCCCTTATGGGTCCAAAAAAAAAAAATACAGAAATCATAAGTATATAACTCAAAATTTTACATATTTATGTGGTTTGGGTGTAAAATGTTTTTTTTTTTTTTCCTTTTTATCTTTTTTCGTGACCGGCAACGGATCGCAACCCTCAGTGTCGCGCCCGTACCGGACCGGGACCGGCAACGGGATCACAACCCTCGGTGTTGCGCCCGCACCTCGCTCAGCCAGTGAGCTGCCAGTCTGTATGTGGGATCCGAACCCTCGGCGGGAGCGCCGCTGTGCTCCCAAGCGGCGCACTGTAGCAGTGTGCCACCGGGCTGGCCCGGGTGTAAAATGTTTTTAATGAAGGGCAATTAGCATTGTCCTAGAAAATCCTCTGTGTTTTTTTTAATATACCATTACAAAATTATAGAGTATTGTCAAAACTTCAAAAACCTCTCTCCTATTCCTTTCCAGTGCGTTACTTCTCTCTCCTTTAAAAGTTAACCATTATTCAAACCTCTTTTACCAGAGATTAATTTTGCCTGTTCTGGAATTCCACTTAAGTAGATCATAATATGTACTCTTTAGTTTCTGATTTCTTTTGTTCAATATTAGTCTGTGAAAATAATCCACATAGTTGCTTATTGCAGTTTTTCATTTTTTAAAAAAAGTTATTGTACATTATTACATAATATGAATATATCACAATTCATTTACCCAATCTAATGTTGATGAATATTTAGGATTTTTTCCAATTTGGGGCTATTATGAATGAAGCTGATATGAACCTTCTTAGACATAAGCATTTATTCCTGTTGGACATGTGTCTACCCAGGAGTTCAATGTTTGAGTTATAGAGTATGCATATGTTCAGCTTTAGTGAATTTTACTGAACAGTTTTCCAAAATGTTTGTACCAATTTATACTCCTTCCAGAAATATTTGAAATTTCCAGTTTCTTAACATCTTCATCAACATGATATTAACAATCCTTTTCATTTTGGCCAGTCTGATGGGGGTGTAGTGGTATCTCACTGCAGTTTTAATTTATATTTCCTCAAGAAACATTTACTGAATTTATTGAATACTAATTACCTGCCAGGCCCTGACTTGGCAGGGCATTGGTGGGGGGCCGGCGGGGAGGGGGGTGTTACTGACAGATTCATAGATGATACGCATCAAAGGGTGAGAGAATCAGTAGAGGTATGTACAAGGCATTACAGGAATTTGGGAAAGGTACTAACCCAGCCTGATATTTTGGGAGGGAGAAAGGGGAGTGGTCAGTAAAGATTTATTATAAAGGTGGTCCTTGAGTTGTACCTTAAAGGGCAAAGGGAATAGTAAGAAAGGGGGAAGAGAAAGGAAAATGAAGAAAAGAGAAGAAAAGGGGGAAAAGGGAAGAGAAGAAATTTTAAGCACACTCGCTCAAAAATTTACACGTTCAGTAATTGTATTTCATTCCTGTCTCTTCCAGGTAGAATTCCTCACTCCACTCCTCCTTTGTACCACCAGTGAATCTGGAATGTATTTCTGTTATCAAACTTTTCACATTGCATTGAAATTACTTGGGTATATTTCTGTGTCTCCTATTAGCCCAAGAGAAACTTACTATTAGCCCAAGAGAAACTTACTTGGGTATATTTCTGTGTCTCCTATTAGCCCAAGAGAAACTTAAGGACATTTCACATTTATCTTCATATTTAAAGAAATAGATATCCATTAATTGGAATAATTAATCAAATGAATTGGTGTACTAACTCAGTTGGACACCTAGAATGTTTGAGGTGCAGATCTTTAAACTGTACACTTCATGAGAGCAAACGGTCACATGTCTCTTTTACAATTATATCTATACTGACTAGCACAGTACATGGCACAGAGTAGACACTCAACATATATTTGTTGTATGAATTATTCAAGAAATTAGAACTATTTATAGAAGGATAAGACACAGTACTGAAGAGTAATCTAGTAAGGGAGGCAGACACATAAGCAAATACATGTAATAAACTTGATAAGCGTTTTAATCAAGGTGTTTCAGTCGTTGTTTTTCAGTCACTGCAAAAACATATCTACTCAAACTTGTTTAAGCAATAAATTAATTTATCAAGGGATATTAGGTGGTTCATAGAATATCTGAGAGAGTGGAAGAGCTCTCTCTGAAGCCCAAACATTCGCAGCCACCCCAGAAAGGTGGTCTGGCAAACAGCACTCTCACCATCTCTCAGCACTAGGGGCTATACACCAGAAGCTCTGCCCCTCGCCACCCCAAGAATCAAAGCCCTGTTCAAACCAATCTTGCCACGTTAGTTTCCTGTCTTACCCCCTAGCACACATATTGCTCACTTCTGGAAAAAAAAAAAAAGAGTTCTATGCAGTTACATCTGATTGGAAGAGACTGGGTCATTTAACTGCTTCCTAGCTGCAAGGGAAATTAGAGTTTTCTGTGTTCCACCTAAGAAATATGGAATTCATGTGCCCCCAAAATTTGCCAAACATAGCATAGGTATTCAAAAGAGGCTAGATGGCCCAAGTATGAACGATGGCCACTGCTGAAGGAAAGGGCAAAGGGCTATCAGAACACAGAAGTGACTAACTCTGTCTGGATGGCTCAGGGAAATCATCAGCAAGGAGATGACAGTTTTATGAGTTGTAGCTATGAATAAGAGTTTACCACGTGGAGAAGAGAGGGCGGACAGTCCGGGAAGAGTAAACAACATGGGCCAAGGCCCAGGATTGTGAAAGAGCATGCATTGTTGGTGGGGAATAATCAGTAGCTCATTGAGGCTGGAGAAAAGGGGGATGGGGTGGGGCAGAGTGGCAGTAGATGACGTTGGTAAAATCAGGTGGGGCCAGATTGCTAAGCAGTTGTTAAGTCATGGTTTTAAGGAGTTTGGACTTAGCTTCATTAGAAAACAGGAAGCCAGCTTATATTAAGTAGAGGAATGACATGAACAAACTTGGGTTTTATAAAGAGAACCATGGATGAAGCTGAGTAGGGAGAAACTAGTAAGTTGAAACTATTTGAGGGAGACTGGTTAAGTGGTTGCTGTAAGAGGTCAGGTGAGAAGTGATGGGAAATCATACCAAGGCAGCGGGGTGAGAATGGAGAGGAGGGGATGGATACAAAATATATGTAGGAGATGGAGTCACCAGGACTTGTATGAGTGAAGGTGAAGCAATCAAGGATGACTATGAGGTTAGGTTTCCAGCTTAGGTAAATCGATGGAAGTGAAACCATCAATTGAAAACAGGAATATGGGAGAATGATCAGGGTCTCTGGGTATGAAAATAAATTTTGTTTTGAACATATTGAGGTTATGTGGGCAGAGGTGTCTAAGAACTCATTGAAAAATATGGTTTTGGAGGTCCCAGGTCAGGGCTACATATGTAGATTTGGACATCATCACTGATTAGGTGGGTGTTGATGCCAGCGCAGATGTGTAGAAGAAGTATAAAAGAGGAGCAAAGATAAAACCCTGGATAACACTAACATTTAAGTGTCCCGCAGGTAAGGTAGAGTCTACATACGACAGAGGCCAGACAGCAGCTGAAGAGGTAGGAAGGTACCTCGGGCAGAGTATAACCCTTTGGCCAAGGTCACGTGATTTCTATCTTCGAACTTTTGCTCAGGCTGGGTCCTCTATCTTATAACGCCTTTTACACTCCTTTCCCTCTGTCCAGTAATCTGAGGTCCATTTCA